CTGCCCCCTGCCCCCCCTGCCCCCTTCCCCCCCTGCCCCCTTCCCCACCTGCCCCACCTGCCCCAGACAGGGGGCATCTCTCCGGGGCCCAGGCCAGCCCGCGGGGCCCATGCTGTGCCGATACCGGTCAGACAGGTTGTTCACTTTCCCACCCGTTCTCTCTGATACCAAACTGCACAAACAAGCTACATAGGGTGTGGGGTCCAGAGCACACACGTCCACATGTGTGCACACCCCCCCGCTTGCACACACCCACATGCACATGCATGTGCACACCCACCCACACCCATACACATGTGCACACCCACCCACACCCACACCCACACACGTTCTGGACGTCAGAGCTTCCCTGCTATGTGGGTTTGTTCCAGAAAGCCTGTGACTCGTCCTGCAGCCCGAAGGGTGTCACTCACCCACAAGGGGGCGACCTGGGCACCGGTGGCACCCTAGCCCTGGCTGTGAGGTCCCCACCAAGATGAGGCCCGCTCCGAGCTGGAGTCACAGCCCACCGTGAGCACCGCCCTCGGCAACACCACCACCACCACCACCAAATGCCCGCACCCAGGCACCCCCCCCCCCCAGTTGCATAAGCTGTTACATGAGCCGAAGAGGGACACTCCCCGGCCCCGAGATGAAAGAGCGTCATTCACAGGAAGACGCGAGGGACGCAGCCCGGCCAGCGTGCACGCGGGCCACCCGCAGGGAAGTGCTGGTGCCTCAGCCAGGCCGTCGGTCACACTTCATCTCGTGGGAAAAGTCCAGAGAGCCCTGAGCTCAGCCACATCCCGTCTGGGCTGCCGGTCTCCCCGGGCCAGCGCCCGCTCCGAGCTGGAGTCACAGCCCACCGTGAGCACCACCCTCGGCAACACCACCACCACCAAATGCTGGCACCCAGGACGCTCCTGTCGCCAGACCATCGGCAGCGAGAGGAGCCGTGATCCGAGCTGGGGACAGAGGATGGAGGTGGCCGCGAGGAGGGGAGGAGCGAGGAAGCTGCGGTGCCGCATGGTCCCTCTCGTCTTCAGACGGCGGCGGCCGCGAGGTGCTGTCATCCTCCCCCTCGTTGGGACGTGGCCTGAGCTGCCCCCTCACCCGACCTGGCCCCCCTAGGAGCCCCCTCCGCGCACAGACCGGGGCCGCTCACCAGCTCCTTGGGCCGCATGTTGTAGAGGATGCGCTCGGCGTTCTCGCTGTCGTGCCTGCTCTCCATGATGGCCAGCAGCAGCTTGGAGGCGTTGTTCTACGGGAGACAGAGGCGGGCATGGGCAGCTGCGCAGGCCCGAGGCTGTGACAGACGCGTCCCCCAGGGAGCGCCGGGCCAGCACGTGAAACAGCACCCCTCCAGGCGGGCAGTGCGCCCCCTGTGCCCGGACACATCTGCACCGCTGGGTGGGGTCCAAGACACGTATTTGTTTGGGCATCGTTTCTCCCCAGCGTCACCTGGTACAATTCTAGCGGAAAGTGGACATTTAAACGTGGTGCCCTCCCAGGGACAGGGGTCAGGGGCGGCTGCAGTCCAGCCCCCGCGCCTCAGGGCATGTGGTCATAGAGGTGCCGTCAGCTTCGCCAGCTGGGCAAGGGGCACCGCAGGCCAGGCCAGAATAGAGGGGCTCCCTGCTGGTGGGACAGCAGTGGGTCTGCTCGGTCACCGGTGCTGCTCGTAGGCCGGCCCCAGGCCCTGCAGGAGGACGGCAGCTCCGCCTGCAGCCAGTGCCACGCGGGCCCTGCATCTAGTGCAGAAGCACCGCCTCTCACGTCAGCGTCACCACGGTGACCGGGCCACCCGCGGAGGCCACACCCCGGCCCCAATCTGAGGCGCCTGCCCTGTGCTCGGCCACTTGCCTTCAGCTCCAGCACCAGGTCCATCCGCTTCTTCCCCAGCGGGTTGATGTCGTTCAGGATCAGGGCCGTGATGATGTCGATGCCGTTGGACTCGTGGGTGGCGATGCAGTTCTGAGGGAACACAGGCACGCACATGCACACACAGGCACAGGCATGCACATGTGCGCACACACACACATGCACACGCACGCACGTGCTGGTCAGCAGCCAGGGGCCAGCGGGCCGCGCTGCTATTGGACACAGCGCCCGCCACTCCCAGCGCCCCGGGGCGGGCTGCACGTTGTCCGTGAGAAAGTGCTGGAAATAAAGGCAGACGCACATCTCTAGTTTCAGAATGAACAGCAAACAGCAGGAAAGTCCCTGCGCTGGAGCCGACACACGGCCGTGTCTAATCCCAGCAGCGCTGGCGCCGCGGCCTTTGTTCTGAAGGGAAAACGGGCGTGTGACTGAGCCGGGTCCCGAGCCCCAATTTCCCCTCTGAGGGGGTGCCGTCCTCTCTACCCCGCTCTGCTTTCAGGCGGACGTTGACCAAAGGCTTACACGTGGGGAGCAAGCTTCCTGGTTCCCGCACGCAGATGAAAATGAATGACCTGTCCCACAACCACGTGACGCCATCGACAAGCAGTGGCTGCTCTCAAGAAGCTAGCGGTGCCCTGACCGGTTTGGCTCAGTGGATAGAGCGTCGGCCTGCGGACTCAAGGGTCCCGGGTTCGATTCCGGTCAAGGGCATGTACCTTGGCTGCGGGCACATCCCCAGTTGGGTGTGTGCAGGAGGCAGCTGATCGATGTTTCTCTCTCATCGATGTTTCTGGCTCTCTGTCCCTCTCCCTTCCTCTCTGTGGAAAATCAATAAAATATATTGAAGAGGAGGAAAAAGAAAAAAAAAGGGAAAAAGAAGAAGAAGAAAAAAAGAAGTTAGCGGTGCGGTCCAAAATCCACTTCCCGAGAGGCCAAGGTCAAAGCTGACGGTCCCCCTCTCGTGGGAATGCTGGTGGGGTCAAAGCCTGAACCTCCCGTGTCCCCGCGTGACCTTCAGGCTGCCTCCTGCAGGGCCAGGCGCTCGCTCCAGCCGGGCTCGACCCTCCTGCCACTAAGGCAGTGATGGCGAACCTATGACACGCGTGTCAGAGGTGACTCCTGAGCGAGTCCTCCCAACAACACCGCGGAATGACCGGCCCTCCCCGCCCCCCTCGCCCCTCCTGCAGGGACGGCACCTGGTTCTCGTGGCAGGGCCCCTGGCAGTACTCGGTCAGGCTCTCCAGCGTCTGGTTGATGAGTGCCACGTTCTTCTCGTTGATGTAGAGGCCGAGCAGCCCCAGGCCGCCCGTGGTGCTGCCGCAGATGCACTCAAAAGGTTCGCCATCACTGTCCTAAGGAGCCAGGTTTTGGGTCCTGCACAGCTTTTAAAACAGGGCCCGCCTCCCGGTCTCACTTTAACTCCACCTTGAGCGTCTGCCCCCAGTCCAGTCAGAGCGGGGCATTCAAACCGAGCCGAGCGTCTCGCACACCAGGTTGTAGTTGGTCTTGTTGTTCTGGCAGCGGAGGAAGTTCTGCGAGCGGCAGCGGTCGGGCCGCGGGGCACAGGCGGGGAGAAGGGGGAGAAGGTCACTCACCCGCCGTTTTTGTTTTTTAATTTTTTTATTGATTTCAGAGAGGAGGAGAGAGACATCCATGATGAGAGAATCATGGATCGGCTGCCTCCTGCACGCCCCACACTGGGGATCGAGCCCGCAACTCGGGCGTGTGCTCTAACAGGGAGTCGAACTGTGACTCCTGGTTCATAGGTTGAGGCTCAACCACGGAGCCACGCCGGCCGGGCTCACCCTGCTGTTTTGATAGAATCGGATGGGTCAGTGCCCTGGATGTAGGAACAGTTATGCAGAGATACACAGCGCCCGGGGAACTGAAGGGTCAGCCTGAGGATGGTCAGCCGTGGACATAGTCTGTGGCCATGACCATTGACACAGTGGCCGGATCCCTAGGGTGACTTCACAGGGGATGCAGCAGGGGAGGGCTCGTCTCCGACCACCCACCTGAGACCCCCAAGGCCTTGCCGAGTTCCCGTTTTTCTCTTTCCCCTTCAGCCCACCCGCCCTCTCACCAGGTGCTAAGCTCACAGCCTCTGACATTTCCAGAAAAGATGAAGGTGGGGTCTGAATGCTGAGTGCCCAGAGCCCTGCGGGGACCTGGGGGTCTGTGTGGGGCGTCCACTGATAAAGGGGGTGAGTGTGAGTGTGTGTGTGAGTGAGTGTGAGTATGTGTGTGTGTGTGTGTGAGAGTGTATGTGTGTGAGTGTAAGAGAGTGTGTGTG